CCCAAGTAAACAAGACACCACAAAAACGGCCGGCCAGAGCCTACTCGACGGCACTTAGGATCGCTTTACAGAGCGTGCGACAGAAGCACGGAGCCTTGCCCGACAACGTAGGAGCATATTCGAAGAAGATCGACATAGCCCTGCCGGGAAACCACACACGCAAGCTGTATGACGGACTGGCCTGGAAAGAAGCCAGCATTCTAGCGCAACTACGCACCGGAATGGCAAGGCTGAACTGGTACCTCTACCAGATCGGCGCAACCGCCGCGGCGCTATGCGCTTGCGGGCAATCTGCAGAAACGGTAGAGCATTTTCTCTTTCGATGCACACAGTGGACGGCACAGCGGACTCGGATGCTCCAACAGACGGAAACGCGGAGAGGAAATCTGTCATACTTCCTGGGAGGAAAGCGCGCGTCCGACCCTAAGGATTGGTCGCCAAGCGTAGACGTTGTCAAAGAGACGATCAAGTTCGCCATGAGCACGGAGAGGCTAGATGCACAGATCAGCCAGCAGCGAAACCACACGCAACTAACATCATCAAATTAACCGGAGACACCCCCACGCATCCTCGTGCCATCGACAGCAGGACTAGCTTCGGCCGCCGACGATAGGACGTCGAACACTTTGAGAAACAACTCCGAGATGGCCTGCTACTAACCCCACGAGCAACCGCAGCATCGACATGCAAAACTAAAAAAGACACATACGGAGACGAACAAGACTTGTATGGGCTTCTGGGAGGCAAGGATATGAACGAATGTGGAGAATATGTAGATAATCATGCGAGCCCTAAACAGCTTAGCCGGGGCGTAATAAACTATGTATGTGTATGGAAGGGTTTCACGGATGGGTTTAAACAGCGAATGCTTCTGTGGAAGGGCCAAGAAAAGAATTCAACCGAAACAAAAGTAACAATTGCGTCGGCCTATGGAGTTAGAAGGCTCACTGAAGGCGGCAGTGAATGGCTGTGGCGCTTAGAAGACGCGCTCACCATATGCAGGGGAACCCATCGTGCATTGGGAATAGCAAGTTTCCTGCCTTCTCGGCCGTGCGCTTGTAGTGTCCTATCAGTGGCCGTAGGTAGTTCCCGACGCTCGATTGGGCGGCTATGAAGGGACTTCGCCTGGGAGAAACCGATGTACCTAGTGGATAGGTTGAGCGAAGTGAACTTTGGCGTAGGTGATCACTTCCGTTCGTCCGCCCTTGTTAAGCCTTGCCTGTCTGGACGGGGAAAGGGTGGAGGCCTTGTTCCGTCGTAGGCAAGGCTACGCTAGCACTGTGAGTAACATACTAACCTGACTGGCGCAGTCATCCTGCAAAGCGCTTGCCAGGCTTAATCTCCTTAGACCATGGGCTTTTCAACCCGGAGTAGTGCCGCGACTCGCGGACGACAACGCCGATCTGGTTAATGGTGTGAGCACGAAACGGCCACGTGCTGCCTCGAGACCAGCGACGCAAAGACATCGGGCAGCCTGCGACTCTCTGCACTTGCTTCGGAGCCCACGCCTGCAGCATACCGCCTATCCTCTACCAGTCAAGATCTCGAGAGGAAATGAGAGTCGAAGTCTCGGATGCCATTCGCCTCCAGGGGGGTGGGTCTACAGGGCAGCAAACTTGTGTGACACATGGCCAAGGTTGGCGATATCGAGCCTGCTACATGTGGTGTTGTGGACAGCGTGAATACACTCGCCACTTGCACTGTGATGACTAATTAGCAGCTGAAGGGGGGCTCCCAATAGGCTCACGGGTACCCGTGCATGTAAAATTCCACGGGTACCCGTGAATATGACTAAGCACGTTCGCTGCACGGGTCTTGAGCCAATCGGGGCCGCGGCTTGGGTTCCAATTACCCTATAATTTACGATTTAACCACAATACACTCTTCGGGCAGATTCTCAGCATACAACGCCTCCTGTTCGGCGTTGTCTCTCTCAACTCGTTTCCAGATGTCGCCCATACCTCTCCTGCTATTTCGAAAAGGGTTTTCTCCCTCCTCAGCGATGACAAGCTCATCAACCCGTTCCTCTTCAGCTCTGTCCCAGTCTAGATAAGCCATCATCTCTTCCTTAAGCCAATCTCTTGACCCCTTGGAGGTGGTGCAGCGTTTGTTCATCTGCTTGTAGTCAAGACACCACTCATAACATTTCTTCCCATAACGCAGCGGAAGTCCCATTGCCCTCCGATACTCCTGGTTTGTTTTGACACTTCCACGAGGCTGGGCGGCATACCAGGCGGTTCTCGCTGCACAGTACCGTCCGTATATTGCCTGAGGTGAATCGTATTTTAGAACCGAGGGCGAACGCGAACGCCGAGACGGTGGTTGCATCTCAGGTGGTGACATCCTGGCATCCACTGCTTCATCTGTAGTCGATTGAGTCAAGGCTATTATGGACTGTACGGCGTTCGACGGAAGGCTTTCCGTGACTTTCCGTGTAGTGGCACAGACTGCACTCGGTGTTGGGGCTAGGCCTGGAGTAGGAATTGGCTCAGGCAACAAATGTGAATATCGCTGAGGGCACGCCTTTGAGGTCATAATATGGCCAACCGCATGACACCTACTACATGTGCTTGGGGCCCGTGACGCGAGTTCAACGATTTCAAAGCTGCTTGGGTCTCGCCTAGTGCTTGAAACCGGAATTCGGGGGTTCTCCGATTGCAACCTGGGCTCGATGCGCTGGCGAGGCTCTAGTAACAGCTGCGGCGCCCCTTCACGCCTCAGGTGCCAATGCGCATGAAAGTGCTCACGTAGCAGAACAAGATTTTGTTCCTGTAAAGCCTTTAATTTGTGTAGACATGGCAAACCGTACACACGAGAGAAGGCCCCCGTACAGACTGAGGAATGGTCTGTGCCATTCTTACTGAGCAGCTTCCGCTGCTCTTCTACTTTCCGGAGGGCTTCATGCGATACCCAGCCAAGTACTGCGCCATATATTGTTCCCGAAAGCTCGACCGGTATTCGTGTCTGTTGCTTGGCTTGATTAGATCTCAGATCCGAGAGCTGATTGAGTAACGCGTGCTTCATCGCTCGCCAAGCCTCGAACAGATCTAACGTGGATCTCTTTAGGTGCGATTTGAGCAGAGCATGGATGCCTTCAACCCGCGAGGTAGCCACGTTGCCAAAGTGCGTGTGCTGATCAACCCAGGCTTTCACTAGCTTCTCCTTGTACGGATGGAGCCAAAAGGACGTAATGTAGCCGACTTCTTCAAGATGGTCCGTAAGATAGCGTTCCTCGAAGTGAGAAACACGCTCCTGAAAGGTCATCTCAGACGGCGAGCTAACAATCAAATGCCAGGACTTGTAGAACTCTCCCCAGTTGTCAGTCGATGACTTCGGCGCTGCAGGGCTACTGGTTGTCTTCGTCTTGACAAGGTCGAACGCAGAGTAGCAATGCTGAAGCACCGCCTTGTTCGCATGCCAGAGGCAAAGCAAAGATGCCGAAGATGGAAAGACAGCGGCTACAGCATTGATGCATGCTAAGCAGCGATCTGTGAGGACAACCGCAGGTAGGCTAGCGTTGCACTGGTCATACAAGGACCTGACCCGCTCCAGAGCCCAGGTATAATCATCTTCCGTTTCGCCACTGAGAAATGCGAACGCGATACAGAAGGACCGCTGACAAGCATCGACGCCAACTATGTCAAGAAGCGGCATACCGTACTTGTTGGTCTTGTAAGTGCAGTCCAGCAACATTACGTCTGGGTAAGCTTGTAGGAGGGCTAGGGAATCTGGATGGGCGAACAAGACAGCTGTAACGCGGCCATCTGGTGCGAATTGCATTCGACTCCAGAAGCCTTCCTCGTCAAGCTGATTGGCAAGTGCGTGGATCGAGGTCTGCCCTCCACGAACATCTCGTTTGATGGCTGCAATATGATTGTAGATATCCTGTTGGGTTGCTACAGAGTTTGTGGTTTGTCGTATGTATGTCCGGATATCTCTGGGCGCGACGCCAGCATTTGATAGGCCGGCTACTTTCGCAAAATCCTCCTCTGTCAGCTTGCGGTGTGTTGGGTGAGCAGACGGATGCTGGCTTGGGGGGTGATTATGAGAAGAAAACCGTTTGTCGGGCCGGTGTCTCAAGCTCCAGGTGCTTTTATCCAAGGATTCCTTGGCAAGCACGGAAAATTGACAGCCCGTTCCTCTGCTCGTAGTTCGTCTTTGGCGCGCTATTGCTTTGCTTGGGGGATGACACGACCGATCGCACGAATACGTAATTGTCCGCCGCCCACTCTTCTCTTTGGTCGATCTCCCAGTCGTGAAGGCGTATCCCCTTGTTGCCGCCCAGTTGTTAATTGCCAATATGAGGTCATCGCGCGATTCATATTCGCTTTCAGGAGGTAGACAGTCGTCTAGGAAATTGAGTGCTGGGTTGTCCGGGGCTAATTCCATCCTTCTCAGAAACGTGTGGCCGAGTTGCCATGCCATGTGCAGAGAAACGTGTAGACTGACGCGAGACGCGTTTGTCAATCTGTGCCGCCCGCTTGCTTAGTCATATTCACGGGTACCCGTGGAATTTTACATGCACGGGTACCCGTGAGCCTATTGGGAGCCCCCCTTCAGGGGGCTTCGACGGTGTACGGACCCAAATGCTGATGCTGTCCAGGGTCGGTGGTGGACACTGACAAGAAGAGCCTTAGAATACGCTGCTATCCGCACTATTCAATTTCAATGTTGTTTGCAAGCTGGCCACTGCAGCCATGATCAGATGCTTGAAGAAGCTCAACACGGCAGCAGTACGTGCACAAGAGGAATTGGCATACTTCACAATGCGCGTACGCGTATCCGAGGGGGTTGTTTGTTGGAACAAACATCACAGATGGCGCGCGCGGTCGTGATGTTACCGCATTCTGAACTTGCCGACAGTGAACAATCACAGCCCCGGACTCGAAAACCACGAAGTTTGGTCAGCAAACCGATCGCAAATTACTCCCTTACCGGCCTGAGAAACGACGTGATTACGCATTGCGTCGCTTGCAGCAACACCAATACAAAGCTCTCTACGGTGCGTTCAGTATGTCAGAGGGGAAACGGCAACAAACAATTGGGCTTTGTGTCTCGAATTGTGACTGTAGATACCGCATGTGGAGCGACCCAGCCGCCTCCAACGGAAAATTGCATCTGCACCATCGTGATCACGGACGCAAACCTTAGCGTGCCGTATACAGTAGTTAGACAAGCAAGCACAACGGCGCGGACGAGTGTGCCCGACTTACTAGTCAATTGGAGTACTTTCGGAAAAACCTAACCATCACTGTGATCAGTAAAAGCCAACATAGGATGACATGATGCGTCTCGCAGGTTCACTAGCTTGCTTGGTTTGGGAGACCATCGTGACTGATGGTACGTGGATGGACGTCAAGCCTCAAGGCGTTGGCTGTGATCTGACCGAGGGAATACGAAGAGCAGACGGCTCGCCGGCCTTGGTGGGTCCAATCAAGCTCGGTATTGGGTGTTTTACTGTGACGGGCAGGAAGATCCTAGCGCAGTCGCAAGGTGGAGTGGTGCGTCCTCCCTTGTTCTCCATCTTGTTGCGACCGTTGGTTAGGATCGGGGGGTCGACTTGGCAATAGGTTAGATGCTGGGGTGGCAATCGTGTTGGTTATAACCGGCCGATGTCGAATTGACAGAATATAACAGATTGAACATGTAGCTTCCCGACTGCTTGCAACGAAAATGGATAGCGAGCGGCCAGGCCAAAGGAGAAATAAAGAAGGGGGAAAAAACATAAAAGCCCGTAGTTGCGCGCCACGAAAGCAATATGGAACTCATCAGAAGACATTCAGACAAAACCATTTCTCTGCCTCCTCCATCTGATGTCGACACCGATCCACTCATTCCACGGTCGGAACCCACCACCGTTCCGCCCGCGAGTCTTTCTTAGACCCGGAGTTCCGTCTCTTCCATCGATCAACCCCACATACCCGGGGCCGCAGGTAGGCCAATCTCTCCATCAACCCCATACTGTCATGAACTAGCCTAATGGTCGCGAATAGCGATGCACCATGTGTCTTGACCCTAATTGCGAGGCTCGAACTGCGCTGCGTTACATGTGGAACGCGCAGCAGTACCTGTCGAATGCGCAAAAGGAGCTGGTTTTCATACATCATGAGCGTTGCCGTATAAACGAAGAACATTGCGACATTTTCCGTCTGCCCATTGTGCTTCCGACTCACGATGTCAGCGGAGAATGTCGAAGCAGATATTATCGTGCTCTGGGTCTGGCGACTCGGATGCACCATCTCGATCAGCGCGAGCGTGTGTTGCGAGAGGGCTGCCGGAAGGCCCATCAAGCTTTGCTGATTCAGTTGGCCAGGTTCGGAGGGATCAATGAAATCTCAGCCATCGCAACCGAATCGCAGATGGGACCACAAGAGCAGCCACGAAAGCGCCGCAGAACAAACGACGCGTAAACTTTCTAGCCTTAGTTTGCACCTGCTGGTCGCGTAGGTGAAGGGCAGTCGCATGGGTGCCGAGACGTGCTGTGTACGGATTCGGCGTGCGGAAGCTGAGGAAGGAACTTGCGCAACAAACACATGGGCGAGTGTTAAAAGTTCCTAGATACTGTGTACTGCGTACCCCGCACGTTTTGCCTAGACAGAAAATTGAACAGAAAAGTTGTGTCATGTACGGAGTACTGTGCCCAAAGCTGGATGACCCCTCCCCCCATTCTTTTGCTCCTTTCATGTCATCCCTTGCTCTCGACGTTAGCTTTGTTAGACACTGGTGTCGGTCGTATGCCCACCTAATATGATGTTTGTATTTGGCGGGTTCCATACTGTATGTATTCGCGAAAGTTACTCGGTTGGAAGGAAAATTGGCTGTTGTCATGGACAAGCATGTAATGCAAAGGTACTACTGTGTGCGGGTTACAGCAGATGTGTCGAGGCACATGCATACTGTGTCTGTCATGGCTCTTGTCAGCGATAGCGGTGGCATCCATAAATGACTGGACTGGAACCTGAATGCTGAGTCCCCCACACCTCCATTTTGGCTTCTGGCGCAAACCCTTGTCTAACCCCTGCGTAAAGACAGGGATTGAGAGGCTGGGCATAACGGATCATGCCACAACAACGACGGTTATTCTCATAGTTAAGTCGCTTCCTCTTTAGGGGAGCGTACTGGATGTTTCTGGTGCTCCACACAGTGTCATCTCTTCGAAAGCGATGCGCACCCACCTCCTCCTCAATACCTCTCTGCCAATTCGCACTGTAACTCACCGCGATAGCTCCACAATTTGGTCTAGATCAGGCAGCGACCGCCATGTTTGGAGTTTTTGGAGCACATTGCATTTCTTGACCTCAGAAACGCTGATCATAAATGCAGAAAACGAAGCAACATATGGTCACGATTGTACACTAGTGTGGTAAGGCCCGGCGACGCTGGATTTGATGCCTTCACGGCCGTTCTGGATGTCTTCGAGAACCGAAGGTAGGCTTTTCTCTCTGAGGAGAGCGTGACCCGGCTTAGTCAGAATAGCGACTGTTCCACGGCTGGCGATGACAAATGAGGACCAGGCTTTTGACGCGGAAGATTCACCTTCCACTGAGCCCGAGATCATCCTCAAACGCTGCGCGGTTGCAGAGGATTTGCCGGCCAATAGCCCGCATGTGAGCAGTCTCTTGTCGTTGAAGAAAGTGTTAAGGTTCAGACACTCCACCTCGCTGAAGGAACCTCGAGGGACACATCTGGCTTTGTTATCACACCAGGCGTCCGGACCTTCGTCGGGTCGTGCTCCTTTGCCTTCGTCATATCAAATTGATAAGCAAGCAGATCGTTGGTAGCGATGACAGCCAGAAAGATGCTGTTCGATTTTCGCATGGAGCTTTCCACGAGCTCCAGCGGTCAAAATGCCCTCACTTGCTGGCGTCGCGGATGACGAGTGGAAAATACCGGGCAGGTCGACCAAAGAGGACAAATGTCCGACCCCGTACTGTAATCTGAGGCGCAGAAGGCCCTTAACATCTGAGAGTCCATCTGCTTTCTTGATTCGTTGATCTGTTTGCCTTCGCATCCATGTCCAATACTTGCAGCGTGTGGGGTGGTCTGCTGTCATCCGCGAATCGAATTGTCGCATCGATGGACGGATAGTCACGAAGAATCATGTCAGCTGCAAGTTGAGTGCAAACGCCCTCATAAGCCGGGAGATGAACATGAGAGATGGCTTCAGGCACAGATGGCTTCGAGGATGACTGGGCTCCGACAACGATGCTTTGCGGAAAGTCATCGATCTTGCCGGCGCCCAGAGAAGAGTGTGTCGCAAAGAAACCTCGTCTGGGCGCGACTCGAATCTTCAAGGGCTGAGGGAATGACGACAAAGCCTAGTATGTTGAGTGTGTGGTTACGATTGAAGGCTTGCAGGATGTTTGGTCGAAGTGAACGCCGTTACAGTTGTGGTGCTTTCCGCGATGTGTGCCAAACTCAACAAGCGGCTGCCATGGCAGCGTTAACATAGCGACCACAGCAACAGCCCCATAGCTTGTTCCCCAAATCACCCAGACTCGGCCCGACGCTTGCAAACGGCAGCGAGTGCGCTCTCAGCGTCTTCTTCCAGTCGCATATTGGCGGAGGGCTAGATGCCTTCCAGTTTTGCAACTTCCCACCAGGTCCAAAAGCATTACCTACTCCTCCTGAACAGATGTTCCCACGGTTTATGATCAGCCTCGAGCTTTGTGGCTTGTAAATAGACCTCTCGTGATTCTCGCATCCACTTAGCAGCCCTCATCCAACTCTCGTTCTCCTGCACATAGCTTGGCAGCTCATGTACAGGCACGTCGCCAAAGTCCATCGGTCTGTGGTGCGACCATGGTTCTGGCGGCTTGCTTCGCAGCAGCGGGATCCGGTCCTGGCCTTCTGTAGGCGCTCTCGTCAGCGCGTCCTCCGCCTCACGCCGCTCAGTGGCAATTCTCTGCACTCTCATTCGATGGGCTGCCTTGCCGAAGTTCGTTTTACGCCCGCCGCGAGCTTTGATTTTTTCCATTATCTGTTCATACCACTTGTCGGAGCGATTGTGGGACCAATGGATACGCGGGTCGATTCTCATATACAATGATCTGCAGGTTTTCTTCACAGCTCCAGCGGCGCCCATAGAGGCTGGACCGGTGTCAACAAAGATTCCGTGGGGTGGTGGGAGTGCATCAGGTTGGCCGTAGATCATGGCATCGAATCTACGCTCATCAAATGTACGACAAAGCTCAATCCGGCGATCTTCGCAGGTCAGCTTCTTGTAGATGGTGAGCTTATCCGGACATGCGCAATTGGACGTGTCGATATCATCTTGGTTGTTAGAGGGGCTGTGGCATCGCGGCGCCTCTGAACCCGTGCGACGACTGTGTCTGATGCATGGGGAAATGTCAGCCGCGTCAGGCAGACTAGGCTCATTAGATGAAGACCCCGTTTCCGTCTTGAGCCCACGGATAACTGTTAGATTATCATGCTCTCCTAACCAACCAAGATCAGATACCGAGTCGCAGCACAACTTTGACCTGCCAGGTTCCTCTGTGCTGTCATTCGCAGCAGCAGACCGCGAGGTGGCGGGGGCAGATTCGATGATCGTCGGAGGTAGCAACCCCGATGGGCCGTTCAACGTGAGGCTGTCGTTGCGCCCAGCCAGTGCCGCACTGGATGGCGTGAAGTGACGTGTCGGATGCGCGCTTCTGCTTTGCCAAAGACTCTCCTTGGGTCGTGACGTCTCGACCGAATGGCAAGCTTCGGGTTGTGATGCCCGCCGTGGGCTTCGCCCTGAAGCAGCATCGAACGGTGAACTCTCGTGAACCCTGAATTGGGGGTTGGCTTGGCTTCCGCCGTCCAATAAGAATATCGAATTGGGCGCGTTTGCCCTGCTTGACATCTTGTCTCGTGAGTACGATCTTCGGGCGAAAGGACAGAGCTTGATTTAATATGGTGACGACTTCCAGGAATGAACATTTTATATTCGGGTCAGGCAGGGAATTCATTGAATAGTCCTGAGATGAACACAGGAGACAGACACCTATGGTGCGGGGCATGTAGTGTTAGGGCACGGTGCTAATATGCTAGCGAAAGAACTAGCTTCACTTTTTCCCTCCAAGGAGGTCTCCAAGGAGGTCTCCAAGGAGGTGTGTGTGGGCGTTGCTTTCGCCGACGTTAACTTACGTGGCCAAGCAACCATAGGCAGAACCAGGTCTGGTTTTTCTGCACTGAGCTGTCGCAACATGCCCGTTGAGACGCGGCCTCTCATCACTATTGATGCAGCTCTTGCTTCATGACCCACGCCCCAACCGTGTTCCATGAGGTGACTGGCCGCTGCGCTTGTGATGGCTTGACAACCGATGTGGCTTCGGCACCATGAACATCAGCCAATCACGAAGAGGTGGGGACACATGAACGGATGGCGCGTCGTGACGACGTCTGTTAACAGCCTTGGCAACTTAGCGATCAAGTAGAACGGTTGAGGAGTCACATGAGCGACAGAGCCGAGCGAAAGTCGAACACGAGCAGAGATCCCTTTCACAATAGTAATAGTGAGGTTATCAAGAGGATCATGCAGTCTGGTGCTACTCTGACCAGGTGCCAAACGTCTTCCTCGATAACTTGTTCGTTCCCATACAGTCACCCTGTACCTAGCGGCAGAAGCCAATAGTGGCAACGACCACATGCCGCATGGATGGCGAGGTCGATGTAGTACTCACGAATAGAAATGGATGAGAGCAAAGGAGCATCACGGGGACAGATCCACTCGATCCATTGAAGGACAGGACTCTGTACGGGATGAAGGACGATTCCTTACTCGCCTTCATACTCAGCCATTCTTGCTACCATTCGCAAGGATGGCTTATTTGACTGAGGGGACAATGATATCGTGTTGTTCCCTGCGTAACGTTCAAAGTTAGATAGAGGAAATCATACGCGACCGCCGCTGGCCGACGAAGGCCAAGCCCTGAAGTACGGATCGCCTTCTTGTGCAATGCACGGACGACGTTCCTTCTCGTGTTTCCAGCGCCAATATCTCCAGGCCTGGTACAATGTACCGACGTCATGCCGCAGTCGATGGGATAGGAAGATGAGACGATCCAACTCATCAAGATGCTTGTCGTCAAAGAATAGTGACTGACGTCGACTGTCCACATCTGAAGCATGCCGTACTGGATGCTATCTGTATTCAATGGTTTGGTCGGCAGAATTCGCACTGCACCGACGAGTTAGTCCAGAGACTGCTTGACGCGTTCATGACGGACGTCCGTTTTGGCATTGTCCAAGCCGTTACGCATGCTACGGTGACATTCTGTGCCCAACTCAGTCGAGGCCTGGAGGTCTTTCATTCCAGCGGCTGCTACCACGAGCGCATCCAAAGACGGCCGAGATTGGTTGTGCCTCTAATTTTCTAACCGAGCGTACGGCTCGTCGCCAAAGAGCTTACCGGAGGCCCTTCTGTCGCTTTTGAAACGTTATGCAATCTTCAATGCCAATTCCCTTACCGGCTGTAGGACGCTGGAGATGTTTGGTCCGCGAGTTCAGATAAACATGACGGTCTGGGACGAGGAAACGCCGGAGACGGCATACTTGCCTTTGGCTTTGGGACTGAGTTGGACTCAAAGTCGAAGTGCCCATTCGTCTCCCGCAAAACCATTGTTCAATTGAGAAGGAATGAGGTGGAAACTATTCAAGGGCGATAGATGCCCGGCCGGAAGGAGATGGTCTGCGGAGAGGCTGTTTTCTTTTGATTTCTCTTCGAGCCGGTTCGATCTTCTCGTGCGAATGAGAGCGTCTTTATGACGATACAAAAATGGGGTTTCTGTTTTAGGCGGGGTTGTTCCTGCTTCGCACGTCAGGCCCAGCGAACCGCACACCGCTCATCAGGCAGATGGGAGTTGCAGGCACCACAGATACGGAGTATGGCGAAGACGACGCGACAGCAGACTTAGACAGTTTGTTTTTCGAGAACGTGGAGTTCAACCCAGTTGTTACGTCAGTGGAGGACGACAATAATGTAGTCGGTCAGCCTGAGACTTTTTGCTGGAACAGCGGTGGCGAGAGCGGCGGCTGCTCTTGTGAGTGGCAGCAGCCACTGTCGGGAAACACGAACGAGAGTCCCTTTTTCCTACTGGGTCAGGCCGGATTGCTGATTTCCCGGGGGGGCATCCCGCCTTCTTATAGTTCTTCAAATCTGTTCTCCAGTCGACCACCGCGTGACTCTGTCTGGACACTCCTAACCGCTTCGGGTGAGCGTACACAGTTCTCCACTTTCTCTATAGTTCCCACTTTTACTCCAAAATTGCTGGTTCATTTTGCTTACCCCGCATTTTGGGCCATCCCATCGTCTATCAACGGTAAACTACAAGACCGCCTGCAGGTCTGTGTTCCTCGTCGCCAAAGGCTGTCCGTCGCCAATCATTCCGCTGTTAGGCGATTTTATAATTTGTGCTGATAGACGGTGGCCCATAAGCCCATCTAACAGACACGCCGTGTTTTTAGGTCCATTGTTGTTAAGAGCAGTTTTTGGGGCCATGGCCCAGCACAGAAGTGCTTATCTGTAAGACAAAGTCAGTGCACTTTTTATCGATAGGAGCGATAAGGACAGAGGACTGGCAGCGCGACAGACTAACCTGGATAGGTTAGCAGCGTACGACATAAATGGGGCTCGAGCTCTGTGGATCTGGGGATCCAATGAGCGAGTGAGAACGAGACTGGTCGAACCGGGGTGAGTGAACGGGAGGTCTACAAAAAGGCAGACATGCCCCCAAACGATGGTCACATAGGTAGGCAACCTTCCATCGCTCCTAAACACTTTTTGGGGTTATCTTTTGCCTACACTCCTCGGTTGAAATTGAAAGTATTCCCGCGCAGGCTGTGGGCAGCCATCCAAACGAGACTTGGATTTTGATCTACTAATAATCGGGAGGGTTATCGACGACTCGAAGTCGTACGTGAGACGGTCTTTTTGGGTGCCCAAAAGCCACGGTGAGTGTTGTGGCACAGTGAGCGGGCAGCTCATCTGGTTTTTTATCTGTTAGGTGGAAGTGGACTGACACTGAGTGTGAACACAAGCCAACCGAGAGGATGAAGACAGGTCTGTTCTTAGACGGAGTCTTTGTTGGACTCGGACCCTTGGAGGGGTCAGCTGCACTGGATGTGGCCGGAGCCAAACCACAGAGCATTCCTACGCTGAGAAGCTGGTGTCCCGTGGGACGGGAGAATCACTTTTTGCTGTGCTATGGGGAGCAGTGCCCCTACCATACTGCGGAGAAGCAGTCTTTGGGGTATTACCCCCAACGGAGATGGAATTGGCAGCCCGGGCTGTCGAACCTTGTGGATTTTCTTGCCTGGCGTGAGCAGGAAGGCGATAGTTGGTCTGTAGAGGCCGCCAGTGGCAACTCGTGGACGGTGTTGCGTAAGGAACACCAGATGAAGGAGGACGGGAGGGTCCTCTGGGAAGACACGGTATTATGTTGTAACAAAGGCGGTCGGTTCATTTTTGTCGAGTGTTGGCAACGAGTCGTGGATGAGAGGGGGAACGAATTTAGTCGGAGACGTGATTCCAGGTGGGATTTTGTTATTCAGAGAAAATACGAGGACGGGATGTCCTTAGCCGAAAAGGAGTTTGTCATTTTCGGGCATGTCGGCCGCATCTGGTACGGCGAGCCAGGATCATGGGTGTATGATGCCCTGGCAGATACCGACTTTATTATTCGTCCGAGGGACGATGAGCACACGATTTGGAATACGGGGAAGCCTGACGCCGGGTACAAGGGCCTGATCTATGTGTAGACATATATTGTTGAATTTGATTTGACTTGACTTGGTTTGAGATTCTTTTGATGTGAATTTGTATGCTTAAGCACAAACACCTCGATTTTGTTGTTTACGATAGTCATCGCCCATATGATGATTACTCTGGTATGATTGAGATTGACTTCCTTCTGTTCCTTACTCTGTGACAATTGGCTGTTCACATCCGGAGGACCCACGCAAGGATGTGAAGAAGCGGTACGGGGCGGAGCCCTATGACACCGGAGTTGGAGGCGTAGGTAATTAAAGGTTAGGTCGGTTAGCTAAGGTAAGGTGTTAGTTTCTAAACACCATCTCTTTGATCCCTACGGTGGTAAACCACCTTCGTGATGGCTTCGTTCCCGCTTCACTCGCACTACGCCTCCCCCCGACTCCCACAGCGTTCCACTCGCGCTGCTCTCCGGTGTTTGCACACCTGCGTTTCGCTTCCGTTGCACTTACTATGCCGGCTGAAGGCCCTTTGCTCCTCGTCGCCGAAGGCTGTCCGTCTTCAATCAACCCGCCGCAGGCGGTCTTATAATTTGTTGTTGATGTTAAGGCTGTTTCGGGGCCGATGGCCCAAACCAGTTTTTTAAAAAAGGGTCTGTGCACACTTTGGTTAGTAAGAACGGAGCGACGGAGGAGCGTGACTGAGGTACCCTGCTTACTTCAGCAGGTCGAGATCCAAAAGGTGGGGCTTGGGAACAGCCAATGACTGAGTGAGAACGAGATGGTTTGGAAAACTATTAAAAGGCGGGAGTCCCCCTTCTCAACTGGGAGTGGTTCAATTTGGCGGGAGACAATTTCTTTCGCAAGCAGCAATGACGTACTATCGCAGAACCCAAAGAAGTGGGTACGCACGCAGACGACACCGGAGGCCAACTGTTGGATACGGTCGGCGCAAGGATGGTGCTCAAGTGAGAAGCACCCATTCGAAGAGGACATTGGAGGCTCAGAGCCTGGGAGAGGCTACAAAGACGGTGTTCGATTCGCCGGGTGGCGCCTCGGTCTCTTTCTTTGCGTCTGGTGACCGGCAAGGCCAAAACTACTGGGAAATTCCTGTTAGTGCCATGTTGGGGTCTACATGGAACAAAATACGGTTTCGAGACTGCACCTCACTGGAATCTCCCTGGAAGGCGATGTGTACGCCAATGCGGACATTGAGGTGTTTGCTATGAACGTCCTTAGGACGTTGAGTACGCCCAGCCCGGTGAATTTATCCGGAGGATAAGAGGTTTCAATTTGGTTACGGAGACCCTTCCATCTTGGGTCGGACGGACAACCTCGGGTGAAGGAACTGACGTCTGCTACGTTGGGCGCACTGGCTCGGGATGGCAGCCTTTTTGGTGCTCCCCTGCACAGCGATAAGTCGAGTCGCTCTATGGTCTGTGAGGCCAGGGGTAGTGGGGTGAAGCCTATCTGTCACAAGAGTGGCAGGGCTACGCTGCTGCTTTCCATGCGACCCGTTGACTCGTCTGCGGCATCTCATTTCCGGAAGATGTCGGCCAGGTGGTACTGGCCTGTCAACCAGTCGATCAGCTTGTCGGCCGTGAAGGAGAAGACCGGTGTTGTGTTAGATTACAACTCTGTCTTGTTCATGGGCGTGCGCCCGATTACGGAGACTAGCCTCCATGGTGTGAAGAGCGAGGGTGGTGGCAATACTGAAGCGTTCGGATACCTGAAAAGTTTCCGTGTTACTTGATACTTGCGGCGGGGGATGATATGAAGCGTCAGATTGGTTAGCACGTAGTTTAGAAACGGAGTGATTTGGCTTTGCAATTGAGTTATTCGTCTGAAGTAAGAACGTGCTTAACTGTGATCTTGAAATGGTACGGGGTGCCGCCCTCATCTCATCAGCGGCGTGGGTTTTATATAATCACATGTGTTGACAGGGGGTAACGCTGCATCGCCTGCTCGACACCCTCAGACGAAGGGACCAATGTTTAAGTTCCACGCTACCGCAGCCGGTGCTACAGGGAATCGACGAAAGGCTGCCTCGGCATCAGCAGCATAGTCGTCAACCAAGGGAAAAGGAGGTCGTGGACGACATATGAAGACGCTCGAGAGTCGCTCAAGCCGTACTTCGGGGGTCCAGCGCAGCCTCAGCGCAGCTGCTACTCTTCATCGCAATGTCTGCTGGCGATATATGTTACAGCCTAGTTGACTCGGCAGAATCGATGTCCAATCTACTGACGTTACTACAGAATCTTCCGATCGGTGTACCGTCGCTCTTTTGAAACCTGGAAGGCGTGAGTCTCTCTCGGAATGGCTCCATTTCACTGATTACCGTCTTTGTTCTGCCCCGAAGTCACGTCTACCTCGTCGACATCCACACCATGCAGTCTACAGCATTCTCGACCGCGGTCGGAGGAACAACCTTCAAACAGATTCTTGAGTCTCCGGACATCACCAAAGTCTTTTACGATGTTCGCAATGATTCTGACGCCTTGTTTCATCACTTCCAAGTGAAGCTGAGCGGCATCGAAGACGTGCAGCTGATGGAGAACGCAGCTCGTCCGCGCGGGCAACGGCGATATCTGAATGGATTGGATAAGTGTATCGGATTGTACGCACCTTTGTCAGCTGAGGAGAAGGCTCGCTGGAAAGCCGCCAAAGAAGCCGGGCTCAATCTGTTCCATCCTAGCAGAGGAGGATCATACGAAGTCTTCAACTCGCGACCGATGTCTACACCCATCGGATTTACTGCATCAACGACGTGCGATATCTGCCCCACTTGAGGGAGGCATTGTGGCGGCAGCTTGATGGAGTCTGGCGGCAGAAAGTGGTGGAGGAGACAAAGAAACGTATCTTGGAATCGCAGAGCCCATCTTACGAGCCACAGTCGGAGACTAAAAAGTTTGGGCCATGGGGTAGAGCTTGGGTCTATCAGGAACTAATATACTTCTTTCGACGATTGCTGTCGGAATTGCCTACCACGTCGTCGTTCTCGAACGAGCTATGGAACGGGCCGCGGCCGCTACTTGTCATTAGCTCCCGTGACCCCTGTTGTGTGGGACGGGACTACTCTTTTCTAACGGGGCTGCGCTCTGCGCCCCGCTGCCGCGTGGTGGGCGTGATGGCAACGTGCTCCGCACTTCAGTCCTGCATATGTCCGAGGAGGGATTCGCCTTGAAACCACCTCGATCGGCGGCTGTTGTGAAGCGCTCGAAGTAGGAAACCTCAGCAGACCTTGGCCACGCAACTGAGCAAAGAGGATTAGTGTCCCAGGGAAAACGCGTGTAGAATATGAATCTCGACTACAACCGTCGGGCTTGTGGTGGAATGCACAGGCAGCGCATTGAGAAGAGAGACCCCTACTTGCTCGGTGCCCATCGCGTCTGCTCCGCCGGTTACGGATGAATGTGCTAGACATAACCGACTAGTAATGCGTCTGCCAGAAACGAATGGGACTGGAAGGCTCAGCAGTCTGCCCTGGGCAAGATGCCTCCGGCACTCTTCTGCGCCACTGAAAGCCAGCAGGCAGAGCGAGAGGCTTCGTCAGCGATGGTTGTGAGTTCAGACAGGGCCAGTCTCCCGGCAGCGTGCACACGCAGCGCGTGCCGCGCTGATGCTCCAACGCCCACCCCGATTTGCTTGTGACTGAACCACAAGCTAAAGTAATGATTAGGTTTGGCTGATTGTTTTGCGATGCAGGACCTGGGCGCTGTTCGAAGACTCGGTCCTAGTTCTCGCACACATGGGATGCCACTTGGGCATGTAATCGGCGAAGATGTTTTTGGCTCTGAACCGGCTTCTTGAATCTGTCAACGGCCCTCATGCCTGTTACCTCAGCGAAAACACCTAGAAGCAGCCATCATGAGCCCTTCGAGAAAGCGATAGTACAAGAACATGTGTGTATGTGTGTGTGAAGGTAGTAGGTTCCGGCTCCAAGAGTATGTCCTGCAGGGGATCCAGACTTCCCCAACGGGACATTTCGAAAGGGGGGGCGGAAATGGAGCCGCGAAGCGTCCAAAACTGTGAACCTGCTGTATCTCAAGAACTGGCGTCCACTCGAAAAGTCAGCTGTACAGATCATCCGGACCATTCCGGCGGAGACCGGGGCCGTTGTCGACTAACTGTCTCATCGGACTGATTGACCTTCAACAGCTACTATTCTCGAGGAGGGCGGCGGCGGTTGACCATCCGCACAGAACAGCAGAGGGAAGAATAAACCAACTGATCTGTCCATAAAATACCGAACGGACCAGACTCCTCAAATGAATCCCTTCCTTTCGGCTTGAACTGGCGCTGCACATCATCCGTGAGAGAGCGTTGCTCACGCATTCCCGTCCACCGTTTCCATATGCACTGTGGCATTGCACTTTCCGACGGAGCCACTTGCGGGAATATCCCAGCTATCAACATCACAGTCAACTTCCTAACCTCATGATCGTTCCAGCTTCATTTGGTGGAGATGTCGCCACGCTGGTGAGATGCATCCTGGTCAACAGAGTGCCACACCTTCACCTCGCCGCTATCCTACATGCAGTGCAGTCTTGTTGGTTGGCCTGCATATACGCGCCAGTAAATCAAGTCCACCGCCAGACTACTGTATTTTGCATACTGCATTCTCGCCGCCTATCATACTCATTCTGATTCGACTACCCCGCGCCGGTCTTGCAATGCATAAATAAGCCGTTCCCTGACTGTGGGCGAAAGCCTTCAGTGAGACGCCCAGCTTCAGGCATCATCATTTGCGCAATCGCTCGAAAGACGAAAACGAATTCTTGTCCCAAAGTACGTCGTCTTCCTACCTCAAGATGGCGAAGAGGAACTCTTTCAATCGCAGTGCCGGAAAGAAGACTTCTTTTACGTTCCCGCTGCTTCACCCAAAAGTCGCCAACGCTGTCATCGACCATATCACCGTCGTCTGGGTCAGCAAAAAGACCACACGAGAGCCAAACAACACTCACTCCACCTCGGTAAAGGGAAAGTTCACTTGCGACAATGATGCTTGTCCCAACAAAACTTGGACAAGCGGAAAAGTGACTTTGGCGATTCAGGGATACCCAGGCGGCGGCTATAACGCAGTCGTATACAGTCAGTGATGCAAAGTGTGCAATCGACTGGGGATTTTCTCCCTGGATGAAGACACATACGTCGATCGAATTGCATATCGGTTGAAGAAGTGGGCGGGCGTGGCAATGGAGCGGCGTGTGTACGAAAGAAGGGGTACCCCTCCCCACAAGAAAGAGCTTTGTGAGGGCTGCAAGAAAGGCTGTTGTAGACAGGGATCTCAATCTGTACTGAGTTGAGATATTCCGAAGGTGATTTCGGGCTGGGGAGCTCTCCAGGTAAAGAGCGTCGCAGCTTAGCCTTGTGATACTGACGGCGTATCCAAGCTCAGCTTTGCGATGTAGTCAACTACAATAGAGAGGCGTGGCAATCTTTCAACTCCTCTCATCTACAGATACATCAAAGCTTGCGTTTGGGCTTGACGGATCGCGGTGGAAGCTTATCGGAACTGCGGGAGATGTGATACGCTTGCAGAAGGTGAACGATGAGTCCAACCCCAGCGTCAACAGCGGATGAACGACGGTCAGTGCAGACAACGGCAGCACGACGTCTTCGTACGCAATGACTGGTAATACGTCAT